ATTTGAGGAAATTGCATATTTTACTAAAACTTTAACTGCAAAATATGTTGAATTTTCTGCAATTTCAGTAGAATATCTACCTACTGATCCTGAAGGTTATGCAATTATTTATAATTTTTTAGAAAGTAATAATTATTCACAATCAAATAATGAACAAATACAAAATACAATGAAAAATAAAGCTCGTGTAGTTTTTCAAGATGTAGCTTTTAATTTATTATACTTTTATATTTTTTAAATTTAAATAATAAATTAATTAATATATTTTATTTATTAGATTCAATATTCTCAAGGTGGAAAAGGTGGTGCTTCATATGTTAATTGTCCTTTTTTTGAAGATCCTAATAATGGAAAGATTCAAATTATAAAAGATCAAAGAACTTGTGGAGGAGTTAAAATTTGTCCTTATGTGCATAATTATCTTCAAACTTATAAACATACAAAAGTTGATTTTGATTCAACTATATTTCAATCAATTAAAAATAATGAAACAACACGATCTATTGAAGCAAATACTTTATTGTAATATTATTTATTAATTTTATAATTTTTTATTAGTTATAATTATAAATTAAAATTAATTTTATTAATAAATTTAGATTTTATTTAGCTGCTAAAAAGCTATCATGTTTATATATTCAAACAAATGGAAATCAATGTAATGGAGAAATAATTATTAGAAAACAACGAGTTCAAGCTCTTGAAACTAGTGAATTTAATAATATTAATATAAATGGAGGATATTTTATTAGCTGTACAAAGTGGAAATATGGAGATAAAGGATATCGCTATATACCTCTTAAAGAAAATATAGATCATCATTTATTAAAAAATTTAATTAATAGAATGGTAATTAAATTTAATAATTATAATTTTTTTAAAATATAAATAATAATAATAATATTTTATTTGTAGCTATTAAATCAATATGAGCTAAATGATATTTGTAATACTATTTTATCTAATTGTTCAAAATGGTCAATTTGTTATAAGTAATAATTAAATTAATTTTATTTATTTTAAATATTAATTATTTTATAAAATTTTAAATTTTTAGCTTTTTCACATATAAACAATGAAGGCAATCCTATTGAAGCTGAATTAGTTCATTTACTATGCAATGTTATTTTTTATCAGCTTATACCTACAGATTTAAAAAAATGTCTATTTGTTATTCTTGTAAGTGTTGGTGAACATACACATCCTCTACCTCCATCAAATCATATTCCAGAAGCTATTAAAGATCGATTAAATTTAATGATTAATAATGCATCAGATCAATTAGATTGTATTTCTCCACAAAAGATTATATCAAGTAAATTTATTATATTTTAATTTATTTATTTAATTTAATGTTTAATATATTATAATTTTTATTTAGGCAATTTAATTCATACATATTTTGGAGTTAATACATTATCAGAAATACATGCATCATTAAACAATTTAGATCGGCTTCGTTATTTGGTAGAACAAGTACAACAAACTCAAAATCTATATGGGCAAGGAATTCTTGGTATTGTATATGATTATTGAAAAAATAAAAATAATATTCAAAATTATATACAACAAATGCGTGAGTATATTTTATAAAATTAATAAAAATATAAGGTCTGGCGATCTTAGTGTAGTGGTTAGGTTGCCAGACCGCCATGCAAGAGGTCTGGGGTTCAAATCCC